TAGAAAACATTTAGCAAGAAGATGATCAATGGCAAAATATTGTTGAAGGTTTTTATCAAATTATAACATTCATTGAAATACTTTAGCATTTCTTGTCCCTTCCATGCATGCATGCACATACGGTCCCAATTGGATTGAAAGTGTAAAGAAGGAAAAATTGAAATTTGTAGTTGTGACAACCCGTCCCTAATTCTACGATTTTATTAATTTTAAAAGTGTGAATTCATGAAAATGCCCCTACAATAGAGATAGTCGATTTTCGTTGACCGCCTTTTTGGGACGTGTACAAGCTACTATTTTAGCGTATCCTCGAAGTCCTCGACAGTACGAATACATAGGCGCAAACGGAATCGAGATCAGAGTTACGGTTAAAATTTCACGAAACATTGAATACCGATATCAAGTTGGTAATTCCATTTTAGATGATATTTTGGATTGTTTTGTGAGCCACTTAGGGCCCATTTAGTTAAATTTTAACCGTCCTATGCTAATTTCGATGTCCTAAGTCCCTTGTTGACACCCATTTAGTGAAATTCCAAAGTTTTAAAGTGGTTGACCAGCGGGGATCCCGGTTGACTTTTTTTAGGGTTGATCGTTGACCTTTCATTGACCTTTTACAAAAATTTCCTGGGACCCTTCTTAACGTATTTCAACAAGCTGATTCCGAATCCGCCGTCTGTTTCCCCAAATTCAAACATTTTGATAGAGTTTTACTAATGGGTTCCAATATTATGCTTAGATGCGATTACTATCGGAGACTCTGGCTAGCCCAGTTCGAACGGTTGCAACCTCGCAAGTAACTGTGAGTGGGTCTTTTCTTTTATATAGTATATACATATTTATTAGTTTCCAAGAGATGCACAGGTATGTGTGGGATGCCTTAATTATATTTACGACCGCAAATATTATATGCTGATTAGAATTATCGAATCACTATGCCATGATTATATTTATGTTATCTGCTCATTGTTTGCTGCACCGGTATTAGTACTCGCCCGGGCCAGGGCCAGGCTTTCACATGTAGGTGCCAGTCATGTCGTACAGGTTACAATAGCCAACTCTGACTCATATGTGCTGCACATAACGCCAGTCTTCACGTGATAGTACTACTAGAGCGTATATCATTGTTACACCCAGTCTTATTGATGTCAAAATACCTCTGCATGAACACATGTCGATGAGCACTCGATATGATATGTTTGCTTATGTGAGATTATACAATTACTGACGTCATGCACTTATTTACAAATTATCATGCCGTATTGAATTCCTGTGATTTTGCAAGTTACGGTAAGTATTTTCTTACTATACGTAGTATGTATATTTTGAAAACTATACTTGTTTTACGGTAAGGGGTTATAATGTTTTCAGAAAGGTTTTATTAAAACTTTATTTTCAGGCTCATTCACCCTTATTTTTCACCCCTCCAAGTTTTAGAAGCTGAGCTTTCGTATCGATGAGGATTCTTGGCAAACATTGGTATTGAAGATTACCTTCAACGGTATAATTCTCATCCTACTTTATTGTACTTTACTTATACTCTGACATCACGTGTGAAATGGGTTCATTCCCGCTCACTAGCGCACTTTTACATTTAGCCACTTCTAGGTTTAAATTTAATAACATTTTCGACATCAATACACTTTATGGCTTCTTCACCCTCAAAGTGTTGGCCAACATAGCTCAATTCGGAATCTAAGTGGACATTCCGGGTCGGGGTGTGTCAGTAGTTGTTTATATTAATGAGATTTTAAATAAAATCCATAATTTGTGGGATTTGAAATATTAAAGGATAGAATATACTCTCCACTACAGTTTATGTATATATAAACAAGAGTACATATTTTCCACAATACCAAAAAAAAAAATAAAAAAGAAGTTGATATAAAATCTCTAAGATAACCTTCTCAATTGTGGTTGCCTTAAATGCTACCATTAATTCATTCTTTTAATTAAGAAGTAAGAAAAAATATATATATAAAGATAGACCCTCATTTTTTAAGCATCGCTAAGCCTCCACAATCCAGTCAACATCCTTACATGGATTCCAAAACTCACTAGTGGTTCCATTACATTACTTCTCTTTCTAGAAAGAGCTCATCATTCCGTTTCCCAGAAAGAAAGAAAAAATGTACTCATGATTCTCCTTCGAAAAAATTCAACACAGTAACTGTGAAAGCCATTTTTAACAAAATAAAATTTTAATACGAAAATATTAAATAGTTCTAACACTTGCAACCAAAATTGTAAAACTTTATTTTTTTCATTTGAAAATGCTTGTTTTTATTTCCGAGAACTCTATAGGCTTATTAGTTTTGTAGTTTGCTGCTGGTGTTTGAAGGATATAGGCTTATGATTTTAACGCCCAAAAATATCAACTAGCAAAGTCCAAACAGAAACGACTATATCGGATATGAATTTGTTTGGTATCTAGAGGGACTTCAGTTCACTTTATGATTTTTAAGCGAACTAGTCAAACTGTAGCATACCCACCCATACGTATAGTTAGCAAGTAAGCAACAAACATCCACTTAATTTGAAACAAAATATTCCATTTTTTATTGGCAAAATAAATAATCCTAAGCCAAATTCATTCGGATAAATCATTCAACATTAACCTAACATTATTCATTCAGATAAAATAGATCGATACATCTCATAAACTGCCATCCAACTTTGGAATGCAACAGGAACAACGGATATTTTCGTGTGAAGCAACGCTTTAGTCACGATGATGAAACTGCATTTTGAACATGCACCAAAAACAGATCCAACAAAAGTTCTAGGATACTCCAGCCGTTCTAATCGTTAATCTTTAATTACAATGACTAGAAAATCAAAAGGCATGAGAACCCAATGCATGAGTTGGGTTTTCTTTGTATAATCCCCTCCAAAAGATATCCTAACAGTAGTTCAGATGAAGTTCAAAATTCAAAGCAATTGAAGAGCAAGACAGAGAGATGAAATGGTGTTCATGCTCATAGCGGTGCGGTGTTGACAAAATCCAAACAAGTATAGAATCATAGTCGTGAAGTGTGATGATATTCGATAACAATAAACTCTCAATCCGAAAGTTGATTGCTTCTTTGAAGGAACGAGTTCTGAATCTCTGATTGACATGTAACCCCAAGAAAATGTTGCAACTACGAACAAAGAATTCAACTTAAATGTGAGAACCAAAACCACATAGAAAACCAAGTACAAAAATTTCAAAAAATAAGAAGTGAAGCAATAGAGGCAATGAGTTGAATCACAATTCAAATGTGATTTCATTTGGGCATTTAATCAAACTTTTTATAGGCGAATACAAGCTTCGCAATCGAAAACTCACAAAATAAAAATTATGTAAGCACCAAGGATTATATGTACCATCATATTTCATTTCTTGCGGAGGCGCACTTATTTCGGTCTACCTTACTCTGGATAGTTTTAGAGTAAGTTGGAGGAATATGCAATTCAGACTTCTTCATGTGCAGAAATCCAAATCCATAATGGCCATGTGATGTAGGATTCGTTCAGATTCATGAATTTTTTTCTTCTTACTTGATGTAGTATGCCCCCCGTCCTTTTCCATTACAAGTTAGTAGTGGAAGAGGGCAAGTGTGAATTTGTCACGCAGTGCTTTGCGAGCGACTTTGCTTTCAGCTTGTCAGAGCGGACTTGAATTGGTTAACCCTCAGGTTAATCATTAACTTGATCATGACTGTGTGTGTCATGAACTCATAGATTGTTGCGGCACGTTATGCGTCGTTTAATATTAGTTCGGGGAAGAACTTGAAGAATTTTGCAGAGGATATTAATGGTCAAACGACAATAACGTTTCCCACATAGCTCGAAATTGAGTTCTGCAAAATTCTACAGAATGCTAACATCCACATATTCATGATGGTGTATAAAAAGAAACTTAGTTTGCTTCGAGAAGGTACAATTTAATATGTCAAGTTGGAAGTGCTGCTCCAATGTGTTGCTTGGCTGGCTTACCGCCCAGCTGCTTAGCATGCCAATTTTGGGATTGTTCTATTTTATGAAAATTTGGAAAAATAAGAATATTGAAGCTTTGCATCGTATCTTTCCAAGTGTATATGGCATGTCACTGAGAAACCTTTGAAATTTTCGTTTTTCCCTAGATGTGCAGTTCTGATAAAAATGCAATTTTGCCTGTTTTTAATTGAAAAATTGGAAGGATTGATCGTGTAGAAAATTATGAAAGTTCAACATTATAATTTTCAGTGTCTTAGCTTTTGTGTCCAACTAGACTTGTGTCCAAATTCGTATGCAAAGTCGATTTTCTATTAAAAATCATCCAAGAAAGAATGGTGTGATGGGTGATATATCGTGAACCATTCTTGACGAATATGCTATGGTGGGGCATTAAGGAGATTAGTTCTCCATGGACGTGTCTAAGAGTAGACTGTGGTGAATATGACAGAATATGCGTGTTGCAGAGCATTATCTTTAGTTTCATTGGTTAGAGTATTTATAGATGTCTTGAGAGTTCTTGTTGGGAAAGTAATCCTAATTAAATTGGGGGACTATCTATGAGGAAATCTACGATAAGATATCCAATCTTCCTAGGATTACCTTGCCTATTTCCCAATATATCCTAATTTGACTTGAATTAGGGTTTTCAAACTTGGTTGGCAAGTAATATCTTCAGTGGACTTAACCCTAGTATGTTAGACTAAGAATGTAGGACTATGCTTCATGGGCTATGAGCATTTTGATCATTTTTGCTACCCAGGTGCCATGTGTCATGGTTTTAGAAAATTATGGTCCCCCACACTTCAAGTGCTTTTCGATGATTCACTTGCATTTTTACTAAAGATTGATTCCAAAAACATTTTCACTAGAAACACTTTCAACCATTTTAAACAGTTCCAAACGAACCCTTAGTATATTTTGGTTAAGGAATCACTAGCTGGTGTAATGTGGCTTAAGGCCATTGATTATCTATCGTAACTTTTTGGCCGAAGGCCACTGAGGGTAAGTGTACAGTTTAATTGAATACTGAACATTCAAAAACATTTATTTTCATAAATAGTACATTACATTCATATGGAATTCAACCGCGGCAGAGGCACTAGCCATAATGGTAGTACAAATATAGAGAGACACACACTAATAACATATACAACAAACTCATAACGATTTGTTGCAACTTATTCCAAATCAGAAGGAGTGAAGTTGAAAAAACTAAAAACAAGCCCCACAACATTCATCATTTGAAGTTACAATTGATAGAGAAAATCAGTGTCTCCAACATTATTGGCCAAAATATTTGAACTTCCTTTGCGCTTCTTGAGGAAATTTGTGAACCAATGGGTCGAATTTTTTGGGTACCTTTGGAGTCCGTCAAAATCCACATAGTTAATACCAAATCGAACTGTGTAGCCTTCACTCCATTGAAAGTTGTCTAAAATTGCCCATGCAAAGTATCCTTTCACATTACTACCCTTCCTGCACCGCAAAATAAATAAATGATGACTTGATATCACTATAAAATGCAATATAGTCCTAATTAGTATTTCAACAAGAACTTACTTGATTGCTGCATGAACGTAACAAAGGTGGCGATTGTAGTAGTCAATCCTATTGGGATCATGGAGGGCATCATCTAGTGATAAGTTGGAATCATTGAACTCATCAACGCCTGCAATATAATTCAGTACATATGTAATTAGTACTTTCTCTCAAAAAGAGAGATGTAGTTGGTTTTAAATTTAGATTTGGAATTACTCATCTGTATTTTACATCAATATATACATATATAAGTCAGAAATTAAAAAGTGAAATTAAGTGAGGCTTAAAAGTGTCAATTACCATTCTCAGTAATGTAAATGATCGGATCACCATACTTATTCTTCGTGTAGAGTATAAAATCGTGAATTCCTTTCGGATAAACATATAACCAGTCTGAAGCAGCCTGTAATACCATTTGAAGATATTTGAGATTGTTAGGAATTGTATAAAATTAATCCTCCAAACACAAATAACTTAACCTAAAATTTGATGCGTACCTGAGGACCAATAGGAATGCCATCACGTTCAGCTGCCATAACACATATGAATGCGATCAATATTAGAATGTAATAATTCTAAGATATTAATTAATTAGTCGATAAAAGGTTTCCATTTGTACTCACTCAGTGTAATAACATGTGGATCGTATAAGTAACTTGCAGGTTTAGAATAATTCTTAGGTACATCAGTTGCATATAGAGCAGTATAATAGTTCAATCCAACAAAATCAAAAGACCCAGTTAACATCTTGGATTCTTCTTCCGTGAATTTTGGCAATCGTTCTTTAACAAGGCCTCGCATGCTGTACGGGTAGTCACCTCTTGTAATTGGATCCATAAACCTACAAAGATGTGAAAATTCCAATAATCAACTTTATAAGTCATAAAAAGTAACCCACTTGATTTATAAATTAATAATACACTTGCCATCCAAACATAAAATCCATAGCTCGATTTGCAGCATCTATATCTTCCTTTGCATCTGAGGCAGGCTCAAACCAATGTGACAATAGTGTTATTCCTATCACCCCATTTTGATATGCCTACAAAGAAAATTCAGAAAATGATTTGATGTAGTACCATACAAACTCCAAACTGTTTACCTCGCTATACAAAAGGTTTCCTCTTGTGGTGGAACCTAATACTAGTGACTCAGAGAGATTTCAGACCCAAAAAAAAGGGAACTAACTACTTAATTCATTATACCTGAAATTTATCTTTGTACACTTTTACAGCAGCTGCATGAGCAAGGAGTTGGTAGTGTGTTACCAAATAGGGTTCAGTAGCCGAATCTCCACCAAGGCAGGTTGGGTCATACCAAGCAGAGCATCGTCCCGGTGCGTACATCCCGATTGTATAACCATGGTTACTGATGGTATATGGTTCATTCAATGTGATCCAGTGCTTCACTCGATCACCAAAAAGTGAAAAACAAAGTTCTGCGTAGTCTTTAAAGTCATCGCTGCGTGTCCAAATTTCAAAACATTTTTGTTAGATGTGGTACGTTTTTATTTAATTAAGCAAATGACCAATATTACACTTAGGATAAAATTTGTTTACTTACACAATACGAGGGCTTAACAAACCACCATATGCATCTTCTAACGCTTGGGGAACATCCCAGTGAAAGATTGTCACAAATGGCTGTATGCCTATATATAACAATATCGGAACGAAAAAAAAAAATAATAGTTTGATTCAATATTGTTTTATGAGGGCACGTTATTAAACTCTAATTATATATTAATGGATGGGATGATATATGAGATTAGATGGGAGGGATGGTATATGAGATTAGGTAGCTTTGTCACCATTGCGAAGGAGTTCATTGATGAGATTGTCGTAGTATTCAATTCCCTTCCTGTTGACACCCCCACTTAGCGTGCCATCTAATAATTAGAACAAAATAATCATGTGAGTTAATACCTATCTATATATCGAAATCGAATTAAGTAAAACAGGTTAATCCATGAAGTAATTGGTCCCAAATCAAGTATATGGAAGCGGATGTCAGCATTACTTGGTAACAATCTGGGCCATGAGATAGAGAACCTATAAGCATCCAACTTCATATCCTTCATAATTGCTACATCTTTCTGTAATGACAAGAAAGGCATACATAATTATAAGAAAGAAGCTAAAAATTAATTAAGGATCTCATGTTCAATGTGCTCTTCAACTTCATAGTGGGAATTTAGGGTTTGGAGAATAATATTATTCCTTGATTGACAACCTTATAGAGGTGGTATTGATCAATGGCGACATCTCCATTGCTGCGATCATCGATTTTTTCTGTCATTAACCATAAAAGTTTTTATTATTTAGAGCATAAAGATGGTAGGAATCATTGAATGAGAACTATTATATATGTCCATGTAGTGCATGTATAGTCCGTATGTATCGAAAAATATACAGACATATACTACATGTCTGAGCGTATTTGATGATAATATGTAGAAGACTATAACCTGGATGGTCGTGGGTGAAGGTGTCCCATATGCTTGGTCCTCTACCATCTACGTTCCATGCACCTTCTACCTGAAATATGCATATGCACATTCAAACTGAAGATGTCAATATTCATGCTTGGAATGAAACTGAAATGTGCATGTGCATATATATATGCTATAGTTTTTCTGACATTGAAATCAAATTAGACCTATGTGATTATATGAAACTCAAATTAATTAAAGGGTAATTAAATAGCTAAGCCCTAGCAGGGACTGGCCTGGTAAGCTGCTGTAGATCCACCAAAGACGAACCCTGGTTTTAGAGCATCAAACTTGGTCCTGTCAAGTGAGTTACAGACAATGGGTTTATCTGGCTTAGCAGCTTTGGTGTTTGTCAATGCAAAGCCATTGAGTAGCAAGACACACAAGAGCAAAGAGCCTAAATCATGCATTGCCATAGTTAACTGGAGGGGTTTTGGTGATCGAGATAGCTAGGTTGGTTCTTCCCCGCATATTGCATGGGGTTTATATAGCGGGCTGCGTACCACGTCTAAACGTGAGAATAATTGATAAGCATTTATTTACTAAAATTTGATAAACACGTGCAGGCTTTAAAAAAGTGAAGACCACTTAAAAGTCCAAAGCAAAATATACTTTTGTCACAATAATAATTAAATATGAATACTGTTGGGATAATACATATTTATACAAAAAACTAAATATACTTTTGTAACAATAATAATTAAATATGAATAAGTTTGCAATATTATATATATTTTTATAAGTAAATAATTTCTCAAGCATGTATGTAACGTAAAACTTTGGTGGATTGGTTTTGGGAAATATATCAAGGAATGGATTTAAGTAAAGACAAATATTTAAAAAAAAAATAAAAAAATTGAAAAATGGAGAAACGCAGTTCAAGATACTATAAGATATGATACTTTTTCATCTTTCGACTTTTTATCCAGTTGGGACCTCACTTACAAGCAATGGCGGTACGCGCATCCATGGAATGGACCAGAAAAGTTAGAATCCGACCTCGCCGGATCATTTTATATGTCAAAATTGATAGCACATAATCTTTATGTTAAATCATGTAGAATTGACAAATCGATTAAAACTTATATCTACTTTCAAATTTTATTACATAACATTCTCCTTAGAATAGACATCTCCTTTGAAAATGCCCAAATTTAATAAATTATCATACAATTTATTTGACCAATACATAAATTAATACAATTTCAATATTTCAACGTGGTGAATGTGAGAATTGAAATTTCTTGATCTATTTTGAAGAATCAGCCCATATATGAGGTGTGAAAATGTAGTTTACTCAACATGATTAGAGATTTGGAATGAGGATCCTCTCCGGATCCTCTTTGTTTGGATTCCGGAAATTCTTAAATGGTGTCCGTTCATTATATATCGTGCGGTCATAAACCATTTTAAATATCTTTAATTAAAATTAAACACAAACAGGATCTAGAGAGAATCCTCAGAAAGAGGATCCGGAGAGGATCCTCATACAAAGATATGTACTAGCTGAAGAGTCTTTTCTCTCTTTTTCCTTTCTTAAAGCATTCAAACCCCAGTGCAAGAGACACCAATCCGAAGATGGGATTCCATCTGGATTCAAATTGTGGAGACCCTAGAGATGGGATGCCCTCACAAGACATAACCCTAACCCCTTAGGGACAATGACATCTTTTATATGACAGCATTTTTTATGACAACAACTCATCAACTTTACCAAAAGAAAAAGAAGGGAAAGAGTGGGAATCTGATTCTTCATTCCACACGTGGCGTAATAGAACTGAAATGCACGTTGAAGAAAAAAGTGTCGTGGCTAGTGATTTTGTGCCGGGGTTTTGTATACCCGGTGATTCGAATGGGTAGTACGAGGTTTATAGTTTTTTGGAAGAGGGAAGACTTTGATTTGGAACGGATTTTTCAATCTAAGGGCATCTTGTCTTTGTGCACACTAGATTTGGCCAGATTTTTAATGAAGAAACTGAAAATGGTAGGATAAAAATGCCAATATAGATGGCTCCAAAGGGGTTAGTTTTTAAAATTTCTCTAATAAGTATTGTTTGGAGTGTACGAGAAATGACACAACATGAGGAGGAGATAGAAGTTCCTTCCCAACAAGAAAGCTAAGGAGAAGATTGCTAGCACTCTATAGATTATTTACTTACTAAAACGACAACACTAAATGCTATTAATTAGGCACACAACTGACCACATGTATTCTGCAATAGTTGGGCCTAGATGTATTTTTTTTGAACAAACGATATTGTCTACACTAAGGAAATTGGGGAGTGACTAAGAGCCTAAAGCTCAAAATAGGCTAGTAATAGTATGGTTCAAATTCGTTCTTTGTACGAAATCAAACTAATACCTCTCAAATTCTCCTTTTAGATAGTGTGGTAATAATGTTGTTAATTTTATTTGTCTAAATATCTCAATTATTAAAAGAGCAAATGGTTTATTTCTCAAATATCCATGTTTTTAATGAAATACGATAATTACTATATTGAGAAATACATAATGAAATTACGTATCCTGAGAGGAGGCGAACGTTTAAATTTTTAAACACCATATCTCACAATTTGTATAATGACATATGATGTATCACTCCCGTGTTCTAATCACATTAAAAAAATCTCTCCATTCCATGCCTGCACGTACTGCCACTGCTTGCTAGTGGAGTATGGTCCCAACTGGATTAAAAGTCTAAAGATGAAAAAGTATCATACCCTACAATATCTTGTACTGCGTTTCTCCACTTTTCAATTTTTAATTTTTTTAATACTTCTCTTTACTTAATTCTATTCCTTGATATATTTCCCAAAACCAATCTACCAAGGTTTTACGTTATATACATGCCTGAGAAATATTTATTTACCTATAATATATATAATATAATATATATATAATATTGCAAATGTGTGTGTATAATTAAATAACGAGACAAAACATGTTTGTATATAACCGAGATCACAACCGTCAAACATGTCTTTAAAGTTATCGCTGTGTGTACAAAATTCAAAACATTTTTGTTAGATGTAGTACGTTTTATTTAATTAAGCAAATGATCATATTACACTTGAGATAAAATTTGTTTACTTACACAATACGAGCGCTTAAGAAACCACCATATGCATCTTCTAATGCTTGGGGAACATCCCAATGAAAGA